CCTATGAAACAATGAAAAATTAATGTAGAACAAATTTACATGCACAACTTTTGGAAATGAGCTCAAACCACAGCATTGTGTTAATAAAAAGCATAGCTCAAATTGTGTAGAACAACACTTAAATTAGCTTATAAATATTCAATGTCCTGATATTTTGCAGGTGCAGTAACCTTGAGCAGAGGCAGCCATAGACCGTCTAACATCATTTTGTATTAGTTCATTATCCCATTATTAATCTAGCATTAAAGTAGATTTACTTCAAAAGAGCTGAAATTAAATTTATTCTCTATGCAAAAAAAAAGCAACATGTCTGAATAACAAATCAGACAAATCACCTCAAGCTTGCATAAAAAAATAGATTTTATAATAAATAATTAGATAACTAGAATTTACTTATGAAAATACATAAATTATCTAAATAAATAAAATTGTTTTAAAAAATATAATAAACTTATTAAATAGCCAGAATAGCAAGAAAATAATTATATTGTTGTAGTATCAATAATAATAATAATAATAATAATAATAATAATGTGGGGTGTTCTTTAAAAAACAGCGTGAAATGTTCTATGAATACATAATGAGTTAATTTTTAAAGGTTCAGAGCGCTTCTGCAGTCACTACACATCATGAAGAAAGATGCGTAAAAACGCACGGCTCCGCGCTTCAGCTGCCCTGATGTTTCTCGGTTGACTGCCACCATCGTGTGGAGAAGAAACGAAATAACTTAAACTGCTCATTCACAGTTCAAAAAACAAGGATCAGTCAAGAAACAAGATCGTTTCAAAAGAGACGGACTGAGACATATCCGCACGCAATAGCGTGCGCAAACGCGCAATGGCGGTGCAAACAGTGATTTATCATTACTAGTGGAATCCTGAAGTCAGTTTCCCCAAATAATAGATCTCTGACGAATGTTTTGACATCATCTTGACATCTAAATAGCATTAAACACGCATATAAAACTGAATTACATCATGAATTGCGCACGGATGTAATTTGGCCACTTGGAGTTTGGCACAGAAGTATTTGCGCTGCCTGAGTGAGAATACACGATCACTGCGACTTCACGGGTTAGAAAATTTTGAATGCATGACATGTTTTCACACATTAAATTAAATACTATACTAGAACACAAAGCTATCCAACAAGACTGATATGAAGGACGGATAAGCACTTTTACGCACGGGAGTTGGACGCTCACCTGACTGCGAGGTGCACAGGGGAACAATCACAGCAGTGAGGATGAGGACGATGATGATGTCAGATCGCATTTTGATCATATGAAGAGGCTGCATATCCATTTCTTCACATGTCCACTCCAGTGTCCCGTTGGCGAGCTGTCAAATGTCTTTCAGCCTGTGCGTCTTTGCGCAGCTGTTCACATAGAGCGCATGGTCTGAACTTGCGCCTGGGTTTATGTCTGCAAATAAAACTGGATCAGTTGATTAAATGACAGAGCTGAAAGTGAGTTATTCCTTGTCTAAATGTGACTGCGTTGGCACTGTCATCACTCTGCGCTGAATTCCGGACCGAGTTACGGTCTCCGTGCCCGGGCGCGCGCCTTGAGCGCTTGAACACCGCCCATCTAAACACTGATTGGATAGAAGAGTGACTTAATAAAGGTAAAACACGCCCCCAAACACAGATCTGTTATTATGTGGGAATTTGGTATTTATAATATAGAATTATGAGTCATAGCTTGTACGGAATGTATATTTAATTCACATCTTTTCTATAATGTAGAACATATTTTAAA